AGAATTACCACACATCCACAGACTTTTCTTTCAGTACAACCTTGAAGCAAAGCTATGATCACCTGCAGATAATCTGTACTGATCTCACAGCAGTTGAGGTGAAACATACACTGTCAAGAAGACACAACTGCAACACTAACTACAGTGTTCTTTAATCAGAAGTCTGAACAGTCCACAATATCGGACATATCATTACTCTCGAAACAAAACTGAGCAGAAATGAAAGAGGCGGTGGGACGATATCGGGCCATCAATAACACTTCAGAGGACCCTAACACTAGATCAGCCATGTGTTTTGTTTGTTGCTTAAAGCCACACTAAGCAATATTCCATGATGGTGGTCTGTCAATAATCTAATCTACCTGTTTTAACCATGTGATTGTACGACTTGTACCACATTTTGAACCTTGTATCATTAAACAATGTGATACAACAAATATTTTTCAGTAAATATATACATGATATATCAATAATTAATTTCCAATTTCTTGTTTTAAATTTCCTGTTTAAAAAGGTAAATTTCGTGGTTTATGCTGACAGCCTAAAATGTTTATGTACGACAGATATATTTTCCCAGAATTTAATTGCCCACAATTAAGTGTACATATACATGATATAAGAGATGAGTGCGTATTTTAAGCGAATATGTAAGACTTGTGTACATTGATGAATCGGAAGGGGTGCTAATTAGGATGGTTCACTGGCCAATTTATTAGCGAATATCGCTGTGGGCGTTATTAGAGAGGGGTGCTTATTACGTCGAATACTGTATATATAATCTGCCATTTTTGGACCTACACAAAGTATGACATCATGAATGCGACATCATGAATGAGTACACACTTTTGATACTGTTTTCAGAATCAGCTATGCTAAAAGAATTTAATTATCGAGAGTCAGGGAAGTATTGTGATGAATATTTGCCAATCAACTGTAATCTGTTTCCTGCTTAACCTAACGCCTAGCATCTGGAATTCCCCTGTGAAGTAGTGAGGAAATCCCCCTACATTACAACTCGCCTGTATCAGGTGTAGATCAAATGAGGATACCATCAGGAAAGTGAAAGCTACGGACATTGATGACATTCAGAACATATCTACAACCCTATTTACGCATCTACATTTAATTATGATCACAACTGTATTTTTTCTAGCCACACATACACAGGTACAGCCCTTATCTGGAGAAAGGCTACTGTTAAAATATACTTAAATAACATTGCATGTATAATGTGTGAGTACAATTTTATCCGATGTTTATACCGATTTTAGCAATATTCCAGCAATATCACAGCTGGGGACACCTGAAATGTACTTCACATGTTGTTTGTTGTTTAACGCCGCTCTCAGCAGTATTCCAGCTATATGATGGCGGTTCATGGGGTGTATCCATGCAGGGAATTGAACCTCGATCTTCGGCATGACGAGCCAACGCTTTAACCACCAGGCTACCACACCGCCCCTCACGGTGAGATAAGATAAGATATGTACATGCAATGTCATATTTCGTAACCTAAGTCCCATGCCAGGACAGATACTTGATACCAGGATTATATACCACAATCAGCAGCTCAGCAGTTCATCTATCACTATTTTATCATAATCAGTCACTGGATCAGTTCAACACATGCTACATCATCATGACTGGATAGTCATATACCCATCAGGCATTCATACAAACTCAATAAAGGTCAATTTTTGGACAGTGGACACTTGACCCGCATTGACAAATGTGTGTATCCTGTAGGTCAGCTGCGTCCCATGATGGATGTGGAACTTGATATGACATCATGTGGCAGCGTGTGCCTGTGTGATTACAACAACCGTAAGGGTATAGGGTTTCCTGCCTATCAATTGTTAGGTTGCAGTTCAATCATTAGTTAAATACAGTAGACAGTTGGTATTGGAGAGGTGTCACAATTGAGAAATGTGCGGTACGTTTGAAATAAAATGTGTGAAAAGAAAATAGATTTCCACGTCAGTTTTACTCCTGTTAATGCTGTACCCTAGAGATAATCTATATAAGGGTTTTTCTGTACATTAACATTGACAGTCTGTGCCAAAAATCTTGCTCGAACGTCCATCTTTGCATAATTTTCAGTATATTTTAGAATAAATTTTTTAGTGTTATCATATGGTGTTTTATAAGTTGATCCTACTTGACCAAACAGAATTTTACTAGATTTGGGCTTCAGACTAGTGGCTGCAATTGTAGACTCAACAAATCTGATTATCCTGGAAAAATTTTCATTCCTGATGCTGAAATCCACTTTCCACAAATGATACATGACAGCTGTTGTGTCATCCCGTTCACTGATGGTCACATGTAATCTTACTGTTACAATATGGTTGCCAAACTGAAATTTGAACTTGACATTTGTCTTAAATGTTTCACTAATGAGATGCATGCCCTTTGTTTTCGGATCCAAGGCGTACACAAATCTACTGACAGATATCTGTTGCAGGATCTACCCTGCTTATGACTGTTTTCCACCTGATTGTATGACTATCCCAAGGTGTCAGAAGTCAACAACCTCAGCTGCCACTGAGAGCTTCTCCAACACTGTAACTGACTCCAGTCCTCAACACTTCAAACAGAATCACGAAATATTGCGATTATTAATTAACAAAGATAGCTGCACGTGTGCTAAAAAATAGAAAACAAGCCATTCCACCGATAGGGAACATTACTGACGGTCTGATATAATCTAGTATAATAATATACATGCTGCTTTCACTTTATAGACATAAGAACACAAGCAGGTATCTTCGTTAATAAATAATTGCGATATTTCATGATTCTATTTCAAGTAGTGAGGACTATAGTACTCAGTGCTCCAGCTAAACTAATCTAACTTCACCTAAATACATTACTAGTACTCTCCCTAGACTGGTATGAGACTAGGGGCTCAATCTCATTAAAACCAGATCTGAGTTCTCGCTGCCGTTAAACAAAGATCTGAGGACATCCCATTACAGGTCACGTCAGAATGACCTTTCGCTAACTTTGACCGACCACTGAAATGACCAACAAGAAGTCGACATCAGCCAATTAGAAAGCAGCTTTCTCGAGCTTCACGGCACTCGTTTCAACCTGGCGACTTCCATTTCAGATTACGCTTGAAAAATATGCTGACACAGTTCTCGATTAAATTTTTTAAAACTGAACAAACAAACATTCCGGAATGTCTAATATATGGTTGAGATTGTATAGCAATGCTTCCCATGTTTTCAAGGTTGCATGATCAGATAAAACATTCCGACTGTCACTTTCATGATCTGGTAAGCGACGCTCTGATTGGTCAGATGAAAGGTCATTCTGACATGCCCCGTAATGGTATGTCGTATAGCGATAACGAGAACTAGATTCTGGTTTTAATGAGATTGGTGCTCCAGAGAATTTTGAGCTGTTGATAAAACACAGGAATCCGTGTGCAGGAGTGTTGAGCTTGATTAGGCTTGGGTCAATGCAGACCAAGTTTAGGTCAAACCACCAATGGAGTCAGCTAACTAATAGGTCAATTTTCTCATAATTGCCATATCTAAGACCAATCAATTGTTTTGTAATACAGAAATTCAATAATAAAGTGCTTAATTTCACCTTTTGGTGTCACTCAGCTGTTCCTGTTAAAAAGCATTTGAACAAGGTCTTCTCCAGAAAGATTGGCAGACCATTTATTGCCACTTGCAGATTTCATTTTCAGATGGAGCCAATATTGATCTGTGACAGGCTAGCCAGTAGTGATCATGTGATTAGTAAGTATTTGAGGTCAGTGTCAGTCACATGATTTGACCAAACTTTTTACGGATCAGGCTGTTGTTGTTAAGTTGGCATTGAAATTTACACAGACTCTCTGTTGTGAATAAGTCACATCGATATAACAAATATAAAATGGGTTTTCAGGGTTTGAAAATAATAGTCCAATAGTTCGAGATCAGTGACACTTTATTTATTGTGGACTACAACTCTTACAGTTTTACCATTCGGTAGACTGCAACTCTGAAGCAGATAATGTTTTTGGACTAGTGAAAATAAAAATTAATTTCAAATGTCAGTTTTGTGATAGAGTGAGTGAGTATGGCTTTTATCCGCTTTTAGCAATATTCCAGGAATATCATGACGGGGGACACCAGAAATGGGCTTCACAAATTGTACCTGTGTGGGAATTGAAACCCAGGCCTTCGCGTGACAAGCGAACGCTTTAACCACTAGGCTACATACCGCCCCAAATGTCAATTTAAGCTCAAAGAAATCATCGAGTGATGACAAAAAGGCTTGAAGACCGAAAGTAACATTGCTAGTGACATTACTATGCCACAATGGTACTGCCTTCTTTACACGACATCAGTGTCATATCTACCAGACTCCTGGAGATCCCAGTTAGAATAGGTCTTCAGCAACCCATGCTTGCCCTAAAAGGCGACTATGCTTGTCGTAAGAGGCGACTAACGGGATCGGGTGGTCAGGCTCGCTGACTTGGTTGATGCATGTCATTGTATCCCAATTGAATCGATCGATGCTCATGATGTCAATCAATGGATTGTCTGGGCCAGAGTCGATTATTTACAGACCGCCGTCATATAGCTGTAATATTGCTGAGTGCGGCGTTAAACAACAAACAAACAAACATACCTACCACTGTATGTAGAAAAAGCCAGGATGCTAAAACTAGTATGATAATGTAAGCCTTGTTTCACAATTAAACAGTGTTTGGAATATGTTAGAATTACCTCAAACTGGTTTTCATAATTTGAAAGACAATGAAAGATTGTGCATGATGTAGGCCGATGTACATCAACATCACAATACCATCCTCTCCAAACTTGTCCTGTTATAACAAGACACATGCTGCCAAATGGTATGAAATAACAGCATCTAAATCATTCATAATATCTTTTTTGTGAATCAATATCCTACTCAACGCTATCATTGAGTGCACACTGAGACAGTGTATCTGCATGAGTCATTGTAAGCTGTCAATATTCAAAACATATACTCACAAGTCTAGAGGGTAGAAAAATAAGACCACATATTTCCCTCTGTAGTCTGACAGTTTGACATCTTTGAAATCACCATTGACAATAGCCTTTGCATTGAATTCAGGGGCAGGTTTTGTCAATTGGAGGTTTCCGACTTGGGCCATGGTGATCTGAAACAAAAGAAGTTCAAAATGTAACACATGGATCATGGTTTTACCTTGACTTACATAAACTACCCCCAATTACTCATCATGCTCATTTCAAGGGTCCTTTTAAAGAAACATGAGGGTCCTGTAAAATAATGAAATGGTTTAGCGTACTGCACTGTAAGATCTAATAATTAATTTAATTACATGAATTTTATATTTCCTTTAAGAATTTGGTAGAATGAACATTATTGTGCGTACCTTGGGATGTTAATGTATTTTTTTCTGCGTCCACACTATAGATTTGTGTGAAATGGACACATATTTCTGCATCACGTAAAAACCCTGCATGGATGATAGGGATTAACCGTGTTTGTGTATGTTTGTTGTTTTCCTACTCATTCAGGAATATTCCAGCAATATGACAGTGGTCTTCAAATCAGCTTCGAACTTTTAATACTTAAAAACATTTTTGCAAAAACTTGTATGACTGATAAATTACACTTTGCCAGATTGAGTTCACCAAGCAAAGAGAACCATTAACTAGGCACTACCCAAAGAAGATGATGATGTTGTTGTTGTTGTTGTTACGCCGCACTCAGCAATATTCCAGCTATATGACGGTGGTCTGTAAATAATCGAGTCTGGACCAGACAATCCAGGGATTGACATCATGAGCATCAATCCACGCAATTGGGATACAATGACATGCATCAACCAAGTCAGTGAGCCTGACCACCTGATCCCATTAGTCGCCTCTTACGACAAACAGTCACTTTTTATGGCAAGCATGGGTTGCTGAAGACCTATCCTAAACCGGATCTTCACAGGTCTCTGTGCCATCCTTCACGTGTGTCAAAATATGCCTTGATACTTTGTCTATTTGTTGGCCAATTTCAGGAGAGTGATGAGAAAACTGCTTTTCCCTGCATCCACACAAACTTAGGCCTTCATTCATCATGTTCATTAAAAAATGCAAGAAAATATACAGAGTGACACCAGTGAATATATACCAGGAAATATAGAATGACGAATACATGCACATTTGATTTCCTTTGAAAGGTTTCCCTTAAAATCGCTAAGAATTTGAATCCAATATTTATCACAGCTTCTTAACATGATTAACAGATTGAAAATCGGTGCATCAGATTACCAGTATTATCTTAAATTATCTTGTATTGCCCATCTACCATGTCAACATTCTCTCATAGCTGAATTCAAGAAAATAAACTTTCATGTTCCTTGCAATTAAAACATGTTAAAAAATTTCATAGTCGGATTACAGAAAATAAACTTCAGAGTTCTGTCCATTAATTTTGCATATATTTTACATATAGCCAAAACACACAAATATGACTAAATAAAAAATGTGTCTTCATTTCTACTTCATCCCACACCACTGACATCCCACATAACGAAATCCATCCTTCAGATACATTATTTTATCTTCAACCATGAAATCAACAAGGAAAGGGGTTTAACATATCATGTCTTCTGTAGCTCAGACATAGCTAGGTGGTCTAGACACCCACAATGCATCACACAGATGTGTTATGTATTTCCCATGTAACTCGGGCTGGCTGCAACACTCACAGACATGTATATACAGTCAAGTCTTGTTAATCCGACATCGTTGGTTGCACATGATTGTGTCGGATTAACGAGTATGTCGGATTAACGAAATTAAGTGATTTGTGATCGAAAATCGGACGTCTTCACGATAGATAATAACCGTGTGTACCTTGTAATAAAATCATTAAAAACGAAATATTAATATTGTTATGTTGTTTATTCATTCATTCCTTAATTTATAATTAATGAACGTGCAAAAATAATAATAATTTTCCCATTTATACATAACAATAGAGACATTACTCACTGAATTAATCACATCAAAGACACACGTTTCCTCGTGTAAATGCAAGTGCTACTGTCTTGACAACTTGCTTCATCTACTTAAAATAGTCTTTCAGTGTTGAATGTGCGCTGTTGTATTTGGTGGCAAAAAGTGACATTTCACATTAGTCGTGTCGACAGGTTTGAATAGCTTTTCCTGTTAATTGTTAAGTTAATCTCTGCAGCCAGTGCGTGTCAAAACACGGGGTTGTGTACTCGCGGTCAGATGACCACGGAGTACGCTGATCACTGTGTCGGATTAACGAGACTGATTAATGAGTGATTTCGGCAATTCGTTGCAAATTAGGTGTGTCGGAGTCGGAGTGCGAGAATGTTGGATTAACGGGACTAAATAGCACTGAATCAATCGGTTCCCATCATTTGTGTCGGATAAAGCCGAGTGTCGGATTAACGAGTGTCGGATTAACGAGACTTGACTGTACTTCTCAAAAGAAGTTAAGGACTGATTTCAACACATCAATTATGTTTGTTGTTTAACGCCACACTCAGCAATCATGGCAATATTCCGGAACAGACTATCAAGTGATTGACATCATGAGCATTGATCCACGCAATTGGGACACGATGACATGTGTCAACCAAGACAGTGAATCTGACCATCCGGCCCAGTTAGTCGTCTCTTATGACAAGCATAGTCGCCTTTTACGGCACGCATGGGTTGCCTATTCTACCCCGGATCTTCATGAGTAATATCAATAATGGCTCATCTACATCATTTGTTCTGATAAAATGATCTTTAGACACATATTTCTGTTCCAACAGTGTGTAGGCCATATTGGTAAAATGAGACCTGAACGTCTCTAGACTGGCAGAGCATGCAAGTAGGGGTGACTATTGGTCTGGAAATCACTATTGCGATAACTATTGATATTGAAAGAAACTATTGCGATAACTATTCATATTGCAACAACTATTGCGATAAATATCGATAGTTTTCGGTGTATCATTTTAGATTGATTTTAGAGTTGAATTAAACCTTGGAACTGAAGTTTCCTTGAATGTGATAACCATAACAACGAATAAAATGTAATGTTTGAGATATGACTGATTTGTTTTTTCTTTACCCTAATAATTTAAGAAAAAGAAACTTCCACATTACTATGTGTAAATTACTACCACTCATGATCAAAAGAAAAACAAATTTGAACAGCATTGCATGTATTTTATTTGAAACTGTAAAACTATGGTAAATACAATCGAAACTATTGATATTCCTAACTGAAATTGATACTATTGATCGCAAACTGATTTAACAATCGATTTATTGACTTTAAGTGCTTACCAATAGCAATAAATTGATATTTCGATTTATCGTGACACCCCTAATGCAAAGACATACGGATAATAAGGCCAACTGTTCTAGGGGCCATAACCTATGGGCAGGATGAACAATGTCCTTTTCAAATCAATGCTGATACGACAATCCTCTTACTGCTACTGCAATGATTGCTAATCAATCAATCATTTTACAAGGGGACTTCCCAAAACAACGGAAACAGGCAGAGTGGTCGATACATCTGGAGAATTTTTTCTTGTTAATAATTGAAAATAACATGCTTCCAGTAGCATGAATATCAGTGCTGTCTACCCCATCCACTCATCCTGAACTTCACAAGATAATTGCCTGCCACTGTACGAGGTATTGATACCTTCTTCACCTGCCCATACAGCGGAGGCATGCACATCGTGACAAGTGATATTGACCACTTTACCAATTCCTTTATTATAATACACACTCAAGGCTGGCTATCCAGGTCATGCAAACAGCTCCAAAGCCGCAGAACACGATTACAAGGAAATGTGTCTCAAACTCACAGTCCTACTATATGTATACTATATTAAGACAACTAGGAACAAACTTGTTTTCTAACAACATAAAAAGAGCCACTACATATGGCCACCAGGTGTGAAGTATTACATTTTCATCCACATTTTCAAAAAATATAAGGCAGTTTATTATGTAAATGATTTTATTAAATGAACTATTCAAAATATCTGTGCACATTAACCATCAAAGAATATGATTCACATGACGCATGAGTGTAAGGTAGGACTTTCCATATGCAGTGTATTCATCGAGTGAGTGAGTGAGTGAGTGAGTGAGTGAGTGAGTGAGTGAGTGAGTGAGCGAGCGACCGAGGTTTTACGCCGCTTTTAGCAATATTCCATCAATATCACAACGGGGGACACCACAGATGGGCTTTACACAGGTAAAGAAGAACACAAGCAGATTGGTAGTGTTTGTTTGTTACCTAACGCCACACTCAGCAATATTTCAGCTATATCAGTACCGTATTCGACTTAATAAGCGCCCCGCTCTAATAAGCGCCCACAGCAATATTTGCTGATATATTTGCTAGTGAACAATCCCAATTAGCACCCCTTCCGATTCATCAATGTACACAAGACTTATTTATTTGCGTATAATACACACTTGTGTGTTATATGCACCCTTAATTATGGGCAATTAAATTCTAGGAAAATATATCTGTCGTACATAAACATTTCAGGCTGTCACCATAAACCACGAACCTATCTTTCAACTCTGTTTTATTCACCGAAATAATATTCCCAAAAGAGCCCCCTATTTCTAATTTTGAGAGCGCCCTGGGCGCTTATTACGTCGAATACGGTATATAACAGCGGTCTGAAAATAATCAAGTCTGGAACAGACTATCCAGTGACTGATATGAGCATCGATCTACGCAATAGGGATAGGATGACTTGCATCAACCAAGCCAGCGAGCCTGACCACCTAATCAGCTCTTCTGACAAACATACCAGTATTTGCCTATTACAACAAGCATGGGTTGCTGAAGGCCATTTGTAACCCAGATCTTCACAGGTTGATTAGTAATGTAGCAGGTGGGAATGAAAACCAAATAATAGATATTATCCCTTATGGTGTTTATCCAATTCTGTTTGAAAAGACTGGAACTAATTAAAACACAACAACCAGACATTATCATTAGCAATGATAAGCACTGCACGAGTACCAAATAAACGATAATTTTCTTTAAGAAAACATTTCTGATTTTGCATCTATCCAACATTCAACAACATGATATTACTCATAGGCAGAACCAGATGCAGAGGTTGTTCAGTTAAGCATTATTGAAGATCATTATATTGTACTGAGGTTTGTGAGTGAGTGAGTGAGTATGGTTTTACGCCGCTTTTAGCAATATTCCAGCAATATCACGGCGGGGGACACCAGAAATGGGCTTCACACATTGTACCCATGTCGGGGATCGAACCCGGGTCTTCGGCGTGACGAGCGAACGCTTTAACCACTAGGCTACCCGACCGCCCCACTGAGGTTTGTGAATACGTCCTACTACGGTACTTATCGTAAGAGACCTGTGAACACCCGGGTTTGAATAGGCCTTCAGCAACCCATGCTGGATGTCAAAGGTGACTGTGCAGGATCGGGTGGTCAGACTCGCTGACTTGGTTGATGCATGTTATCGTATCCCAATTGGTGGAACGATGCTCATAATGTCAATCACTGGATTTTCTGGTCATGACTCGATTATTTACAGACAGACGTCATTTAGCTGGAATATTGCTGAGTGCAAGGTTAAACAACAAGCAAACAAATTTATCGTGAGAGGTGATGAAAGTTGATTGGGTGGTCTGTCGTTGTGGTGGCTTGGCTGCCTGCGTGTCACCATGACAAATAGAAAGGGATGGCATTGCTCATGCTTTCAATCATTGGTTTTCTGACCAGACTTGATAATTTATGGCCTATCACATTATAGCTAGAACATTTCTGATTAGGGTTGTCATGATACTAGGGCTGGGATGGGTAATTCAGGTACTCGGGTCGGGTGGGTACTAAGTAGGACTACCTGGACCCGTGGTTAGTCACGATTATATTGTTTAATGGCAAAAATTATCCAAAACTCTATGGTTACATTATAAGTGACAAATGTTCACATTTCTTTCCGACTATGCACATTCCTTTTGACTTTATATATGTTTGCATAAAGATAAAACTTCAGTCAATTTCAGTGTACGCATGACCAGATCATTTGATACCTGTTATCTAAAAACATTTTGACAGGAGTACGGTCAAATGTTTCCCAATCAGACATTTTGTACCTTTCTCTTGAGACCTACAGCGGGTACCCGAGTAGGGTCAGGTAATAGGGGGGTGGGTACCCGGGTTGTAAATTTGGACTCGTCCCAGCCCTACATGATACGTCTCTTTTGTGTGAAACAACATTGCAACGTCAGGCACGATACTTTACGTATCTTCACATTTTATTCATGTGAAATTTTCCATTTTGAGTTTGTTCCTACAAACTGTTTTACTTATAGTTATATGACTGGCCAAGGTAGGCATGTTCAGACATCATCATGCAGTCAGATGTAGTATTGTTTCCAGAAAGGCAGTATCAAGTCATATCACCTTCATAATATGACTGTTTGAAAATCGATACAAAATGTGTGTGTGTGTGTGAGTATGGTTTTACGCCGCTTTTAGCAATATTCCAGCAATATCACGGCGGGGGACACCAGAAATGGGCTTCACACATTGTACCCATGTCGGGAATCGAACCCGGGTCTTCGGCGTGACGAGCGAACGCTTTAACCACTGGGCTACCCGACCGACCCCGATATAAAATGAAATCATCAGTAAACAATATCGAGTATCATATAAGCAGGCTTAAATTGACGATCATCAGTGAATTGCGACAACCTATTTCTAACAGAGCCTTGAAACAAACAGACAAATTGTGTATTAAGGCCATAAGCGTCTGACACGATCAAGGATCACACACCATGAGCGACATCCATATTAAGTCAACATTTTATCATGTTCAGTTTGAACGATATTTTCAGTACCCTGCTAACATTACTTCAACTCAATGTTTGGAGAAAAAAGTACTTGTCCTCACCGGTCATATTTATCTATGCCTTCGGATGGCAGATTAATGAACTAAGTACTGCTGTGTCATGTCCTTCTTCACCTGCCCATACAGCAGAGGCATGCACATCGTGACAAGTGATATTGACCACTTTACCAATTCCTTTATTATGAAACACACTCAAGGCTGGCTATCCAGGTCATGCAAACAGTTCCAAATCCGCAGAACACGATTATAAGGCGACGTGTCTCAAACTCACAGGTCCTACAATATGTATGCTATAAGACACCAGGTGTGAAGTATCACATTTTCATCCACATTTTAAAAAAAATATGAGGCAGTTTATTATGTTAATTGTTTTATGAAATGAACTGAGTACTGCGGGTCATGTTCAGACATGTACAGACAATGGTTATAATCTAAGAAGCAATATACCAGTACTACACAAGCTGCTCTTCTGTTATCAGGTATATCAGGGATGGCAATGGGCTGGAAATCATAGAGGGCTCTAGACAGGGCATGTCACAGAAACAGCCCAAACTGAATTCAGCTAAATATTGTCATTGCTGGCATTTGTTTCTCTGATACCTGTTAGTATCTATGACAGTGTTAATTTAACATCTAAGATGACAATTCAATAAAAATATACTTTATGATGCAAAACTAAACAAGACTAATTTAATCAACATATTTATATGTTCAATAAATTGTACATCATTACAAAGTCTAACCAAAAATAACTACTAAGTCAGGTTTATTGATAATAATATTGCTAATATACCAATGTACTGCAATATGTCATGGTTCATGCCATTACATTAATAACTTTCATCATGTATCTCTACAACAGATGGTGCAGATGATAAAAAGATAAGGACTCCATTTCACCCACAAAAATAATTAATGAAAGCCAACATCAGGCTTCCCCTAGACTAACATCTAGTCTCTGAACATGCTGACATGAACATATCATACGGAAAAAAAGTTGTTCAATTATCTTCATAAAAATATAATAAAAGGGAGCCCAAAGACTCTCTTCACCCTGATACTGCAGTAATCTAGACTTGCCAAACATTATAGACTTGCATGGCCTGTATTTGATATATATTTGTATCAGGGTCTGTAAGACACTAGGCTTACTCCATGCTTAATCTGTGTACTCCATGAGGAGATAGGACCCAACTGTTTCATGGCCCAAGTACAGCTCTAGAGGCAGCAATGTAGTGGTGAAAACTCGTTTCAACTGTTTATTTAATAGTCCTAACGATATATAGAAAATTCTTCCTAGCAGGGATAGACAGGGCCATTAGTCAGTTAGTCTGAGACTAACAGAGTGACTAGTTGTTTTCTACCAAAATCTACAAAGTGGACATAATTTCTTTGATAGGCATTTACAAGTTGGAGTACTAAGTAAGGATAAGAATTTATGGATGAACAACTTCTTTATTACAATTAAGAGCGACGTTTCGGTGTAGGTGTAGGTTCTAACACTGTTATCGCTTGATAACGGTGTTAGAACCTACACCGAAACGTCACTCTTAATTGTAATAAAGAAGTTGTTCATCCATAAATTCTTATCCTTATTTGGACATAATTTATTGATAAAAACATAATTTTACGATTACGATGACATTTCAGTACAGATCCTTATACCTTTGTCAAGCGAGGTAATGCCACCATTACAGTAAAATATAGAAGTTGTTCTCCATAAACTGTGTCTACTTCGTCATCCGTCAACTTCTAAGAAATGCCGATCAAACAATCTACCAAAATGTAGTGTTTTCACAGACTTGTCCAAAATGAGCAGCAGACTAGACTAGACCAACGGTGTCTGCCCCTACCAAACTGTAACCATTTTGACTAGTTGTATGGAAACCTGAACTATAAAGGAGGTTTAGTTGTAGTCTTGTTCAACTAGCAATGCTAAAACTCACAGGTTGTGGTGACGAAGGCAGGTCCAAACTTTCACCAATCTCTGATTTCGTCACCCCCGACACTCCTGAATCCTCACGCTCAAGCGACTTGCTGACAACTTTTTCGTAAGATTTAACAAAACGTAAATATTGGCGATACATTGCTGAGTGGCATGGTTTTACAATTTGATTCCAAATATAATCTTCTACTCAGGTTGCTGGGGCAACAAGAATGCTGAAAGCTGATGGATCCTTGGACTAATCAATGAGTAAATGGGACCTGTGACATACTCCGTGAGAAGCCTCCCAGCTAATGGTCACGAGTTACCTTCATGTCTTTCACTACTGATGTGTTTACTGAGAGATCTCCATTAACCATCTAAGTGTTGAAAGCCGAACACTCCACAACATCACAAACTTCACCATTGTTCACAGGTCTGGAATCATGTGTATGCACTTCATTGGCACCGTGAGGCGGCATAGCACTTACAGATTTACAAGAACATGTTTTGATCAATATAAACCATGTCTCATAATGCAAAACTGCCATGGTCCGTTGATTTGCAGGCTGAAAGGTTTTAGGTATAAAAATAAGGATTTTCCAATTGTTTTTCTCCCAAAGTAATTTTTGTGTGTGGACTTTTACATGTATTTCTAACTTTTGTTTTGTTTGTTTGTTTGTTGTTTAACGCCACACTCAGCAATATTCCAGCTATATGACGGCGGTCTGTAAATAATCGAGTCTGGACCAGACAATCCAGTGATTGACATTATGAGCATCGATCCACGCAATTGGGATCGATGACATGTATCAACCAAGTCAGCGAGTCTGACCACCCGATCCCGTTAGTCGCCTCTTACAACAAGCATAGTCGCCTTTTACAGCAGTATTTCTAACTCTTTCAGGGATTGTTTTTTAATGAAGTCTTTTTACTTTCAAGTCTGTAGAGGAGCAGTGGGGTGGCCTAGTGGTTAAAGCGTTTGATCATTACGCCAAAGACCTGGTTCGATTCCTCACATGCGTACAAAGTGTGACACCAATTTCTTGTGTTCCCCACCATGAGTTTGCTGAAATGGTTCTATAAGTGGTGTAAAACCATACTCACTCACTCAAGTCTGTAATTTCTATGTTATATCTAAACTGCTTTTAGCTGAGCTCACTATTAATGCTGAACAGAATGAAACGACTAAATACTGACTAAAAAAGCAAACAGATAAACCTTTAAAATAAACTGCGAAAAAGAACTATAACAAAATTATTAGGGCTGTCATTATCTTCGGATACATTTCATTACAATACATATCACTTGACAGTGGTAGAAACTAACATTTTTAGTCCACTAGTCCTTATAATGATAAGATATAGCAAGACCCTTAAAAATGGCAAATTTCTACTAGTCCTTATGATACCTTAACTACTGGGCACTTTGGCAAGGACTATCAGACTAGTGCCAATATCTAATTCTGCTTGACAGTAAGGTCGCTACATGATACACAATACCATTTAATACACGCTTGTAGCCAACTAAAACAAATGTGTTCCTACTATTTTACATGTCACCTTTATCATAAGGTGACATCAAATATTCAAAACATCAGTCTTGTTTTGTGCCTCAATAGGTGATCTACAGATATGATACTCATGTTAAAGCATAAAGTATCGCAAAGTATGAAATGTTGATCAGTCTGTACCAAGCACTTTTCAGGCTACCAGCCAGAATAAGGCTCTTAGCATCTTTTTCAGTTGATTTTCAGTTGAGTTTTGTGTTACTAACGTCGTATATGGCCCAATATATCTGAGCTTAATAGACCTTACAGAGTTTTACCAGACTTGTGCTTTGGAATAGTGGCTGACACAGTCCTAGACTAGAATCATAACATCCTTATTTATCACAGACCAGTACATCTCCAACCTCAGATATGCACTACTCACACTGCCATACAACGTAAAACACACAATCTCAGCTAACAGCCTTCAAAGGGTTAAAGATGTAGGTTCCAGTTTGGGTTACTACAAAGCCTGAGATGTAGGTTGAGGGGGTCAAGCCATATAACAGTAAAGCTGCCATGCCATCTAGGTTGTAGGTATGAGCAATCACACACCCAGTGACAAAGGCACTTAAGAAATAAGGTACGATAATAGGGTACTTTAGGTATTTTCTCCACTTCAAACAGTGCAGGATGCAGAAAACAACAGACTGCTGTACCACACAGAGCTACAGATAAGCAGCGTATTTACATAAAATACCCCCCAGCCCAAAAATTCAAAATCCAATTACTTTCAAATAACTTGCATACTGAAACGCATGCATAAAATGAAAAACTCAAATGTATAAAAACAGCACAGGTTTATACCTAGACTAACATCTAGTCTCTGAAATGAACATATCGTAAAGAACAAAAAAGTTGTTCAGTTATCTTAATAAAAATATAATAAAAGGGAGCCCAGTGACTCTCTTCATTTTCAGACTGCAGTAATCTAGACTTGCCAAACATTATAGACTTGCATGGGCTGTATTTGATATATATTTGTATCAGGGTCTGTAAGCATGGTAAGACAGACTAGTTTATACCCAATGAAGTTTTTTCAGTATGCGTACAAAGGACCTAATTTCCGAAACACAACTACAAGCTAATTTACTTCCCGAGCCAAGCCTATATATTTAGAACAGTTATATAAATCTAAAACTTTATTTCATTTTTTTAAATCTTAAAATGTTCACTAATTTTGGGAAAAACCCAATAGTGATGAATAGATGGGTGAAAAATATTGGTTACCCAATGAAAAATGTAATAACCCAATTAAAATAGAAACCCTCGAGTAAAAAAGCTCAGTAGCTCAAAAAGTTATCTGGAGCTCTGGTACCACATACCTTACTAGAAAATTAAAGCAAAAAGACATGATCTCTTATAATGTTAGCTTACTCATCATGTCATCTTTGTTATATATCATATTACATTATTACATATATTATTATAAAGTGGAGACTCTGTCCTAGTACAAGAACAATTCTTCACTTCAACATTACTTCTTGTTGTTTATTTGCTGTTTAACGCCGCACTCAACAAAATTCCAGCTCTATGACGGCGGATCAAGAATGCTCATGATATCAATCACTGGATTGTCTGGTCCAGACTCGAGTATTTACAAAATGCCGTCATATAGCTGGAATATTGCTGAGTGCGGCGTAAAACAACAAACCAAAACCAGCTGGACTGCTGCACTAGCCAATATGCTGTCAATATTCCCGAGAGTACTGCACTGATAGTTACTGCTGGCTACTTAACAGAAGCAATGAAATGACTACAATGCAGTGATTCACATGCTAACTGCACATTCGTGTGCCTGGGTTTCTGGTTACAGGTCTTGAACCACAGTAGAAACAAATACTATAAAAAGCATGTTCAGTGATCAATGGCTCTTTACTTCTTCAACATACAAGCATGGGTATAGTTAATGATTAGCTGATAAAGGCCTTGACCATGTCTGAGAGTAAGCCCAAGATTTACTGTTACCATAATGGTGTTAATTGTATTTTAAGCCTATGAAATTTGAGCCAAATTTAAATCATGATCATTAAGGTAAACAATTAAAACAAACATGACAAAGATAAATTTTAGCATGTGTTTAGTACATAGAAAGAGACTATATATCATGACATGTGGACGTTCTGTATTCTGAAAACAGAGAAGTGGGCGTGTTGACATTGGGTACAATAACCATAAAACATATCCAGTCAACAATCACGATAAAATTTGTTCCTAAGTCATAAATGTTATGTATTCAACAAACAGTTAGGAAGTAGAGTTAAATCCCATTTTTAGTGAGTGAGTGAGTTGGGTTTAACACCGCTTTTAACAGTATTCCAGTTATATCGCGGCATGTCAGCTTAATGTGGGAGGAAAGCCCGAAGTGATGCAGGTCTAAGATGTTTACCACTTTGGTGAAACCCACGAGCACAGGTATGGTGCTGACAAACCTAGAAACATAATCAGGGCGAACCGGGATTCGAACCCACAATCATGGGTTTCTAGCGTGGCCAAGGGACGCAACTCTGCACAGCGAAGCGCGGCGCCTTAGACGACTGGGCCACCCATGCCCCCCCCCCCCCCCTATTTTTAGTACAGTTTAGCACTTAGTTAAACAAATCACACATACCAGGCACACCTGACATTCCTACCACAGCTTGTTACTACTGGTGAGTGTGTTGATTAATCACACTGAATTAATGATAGCCTAGGCTCCCCCACTTCATGTTCTTACAGTGGGAATTGGGGCACTCCTCCTGAACCAACACACACAGACATATAGCTATCGTTACTAAAGGGCAGCTATATTACAGATTACATGCCTTACTGTTACTGTTGATTAACACTTCATTAGTTTCTTTGTTGTTAATGTTGCACTCAGCTATAGTTGAGCTAAATGATGTCAATCTGTAAATAATGGAATCTGGACCACCCAATCCAATGATTGACAACTAGAGCATCGATCCACGCAATTGGGATACTATGACATGCATCAACCAAGTCAGCGAATCTGACCACCCAATCCTGTTAGTCACCTCTAACAAGCATTGTAGCCTCTTACAGCAAGCATGGGTTGCTGAAGAGCTATTCTAACCCAAATCTTCATGGGAGTTTTCTTAAGTAACTTAGTTGAAACATCAACCCCCCCCAAAAAAAATATATCTTTTTGTAGTCACATAGAAATTAAAGCTTAATTCAAATTGAAAAATTGCTAATTCTGTTGAATATTAACATGACTACAAAAAATAGTACATTTTGGGAAATCTTCAACATCTAAATATTATTTCACATTATACAAAAAGAGTCAAAAGGCTATTGATTTACATAAACCAACACATAAACAGAAGGGTCAAATATTTACCTATCACTAAGTCATCATGTCATCATAGATACGGCTAGGACTTATTCTAAATTCAAAACATCACAAACGAACTTAAACAATGTTAAACATGTAAAATGTTCAGTTAATTAAACTACTACAAAACTTGGTCTGATCTATTTGTATGTGCATGCTGCGGTACCCAACATTATCTAAACATTACTATCACGATAAGCAGAGGTAAAGTATGCTACTACGAACAGATAATCATGAGAATAGACACTCCACATTCAAATTAATCAGGTAGTTATGACCAGTAATCAGGTAGTTATAACCAGTAATCAGGTAGTTATAACCAGTAATCAGGTAGTTATGACCAGTTTTGGGTCAAGTAGGTGTCCTTACCT